GGCCATTGGTGAGCCTGCGCGGTTGTTACATAAATATGCGCGAGCCGTATCGCTTCCTTTTTTAACAATCCGTTTCGTAATTGTTTATCACGCCGAGACGAGCGCCGGCATGATCGCTGGTGAACGGCGAACTCGTTGTTTCGAGGCTGACGCCCCACAATACAGAATTTGACGGCGCGCGTGTCGCGTGTATATATATATGTGTGTATATATATATATATATATATATATGTTGTGTATATGTGTGTTACATGGAGGAACAGCAACGTTTTGCAAATGCAGATCTTGGATTTAATTTCCTGTTAATAACATAGATTAAGGTTTTTTTTTATGAAAGATGTTTACGGCGTTTTCTTTTATAAATATATAATATATCGGGAGAGCTGAGTCGAAAGTATCTAATAAACGTATTAAATAATTCAGCATATATGATACTCGTAATCGAAAATTTTAAATATATGGATAATAATTATGGAAAATACGATTGATTAGTAGCAATAATATTTTAAAAGATACGTTAAAAAATAATCTACGACAAGCGTAAAGAGAAATAATCGTTTCAAGTAAAAGTAAGCCATTCTACGATTATTCGTCACTAGGCTCAAATAAGAAAAGTAAAGAAAATGGACAAATAGGTTCCGCATGAGTTAAGCGATACACAGAAAGTTGGATGGATAGAAATAACCACCTGTTACTTCAAAGAAACCCACCAGGATCCATTTTTAAAACGTATCGTTATTTATCAAAGAAAAGTGAATTTTACATTTAAATGAAACTTTAAAAAACTCTAAAAATTACATAAATCACTTTTCGTTAAACATTATATTTTATATTTTAATTTTCTATCGTTCGGGAAATGGAAAGATATTATTAAAAATTACCTTTACTCAAATCAACCTTGCAACAAAAATTCTCCTCTTCGAACTCGATCATTGATATTATGACATCAAACTCTTTATCCTCTCCCTACTTAATTCAGGTTCGACACGTGAACGCGAACGTGGTAAAATTAGCCACGACGTATCACGTTCACGGAATTCGAAGGGACGGAGATTCGAAGCTTCACGTGGGGGCCATCGTCGCGGTTCCCAGTTGTTACGTTGAGGAAGTCACGCGGCCCTCGAGGCCCCGAGGCCTCAAAAAGAATGAGGACATTCCGTGCAGCGTGGGGGCCCCCTGTTCCAAACCAGGTTCCGGATTTGGGTATACCAGAATCAACGAGGGAGGGAGAAATTTGGGCAACGATCAAACTCTCAGTGGTGTCATCCCAATTCTCGAAAGCGTAACTAGGTAAAGGTTAGGTTCCGTCTCTATTGCCCTAGCTCCGCGAACGAAACGTACTGACCCAG